TCTCGAGAATGGGACAGTGTTCTGTGATGTATACAGATTAACCGACGGTAAGTATCCAGAGGTGACTAGTCTTTTGCTGCGATCGTGAACCGGGATGTTTTAGTAAGCGTGCATATATGCTAGCCTATTATTAATGGACTTGCTCGTTGTCTTGGGCGGCTCGGGTGACGCGTTTTTAGCGAATTTAATTTTGGATATATAGATCTGGTTAATTATACAATGTAAATATTATAATGTCATGTCGCCGTGATAATAATTGACGTAATGCCATGTGTGTCTGATGAAGTGGTTGTCGTTATGATATCACAGTGGTATCAGTGGTATGTTTATTTAGGACAACAGACTACCGCAGCTGACGGTTAAACGAGTACTCATAGACTGATTGGGTCTCTACTCAACGTCGATATGTTGGTATGACGCCTATATCAATGTTGTTATGTTCTGGTTAGCCTAAAACTATAATGGTGTACAAAATTCCAGTGTTTCAGTTCCACTCGATGTGAAACAAGAGAAAGGGTGTCGAACTAATCGCCATTTTGAAAGTGAAAAGAGTGCGTAAATAGGAGCTTGCTTTTACATGGGACATGCGGCGTTGTGACGTTACGTGTAAATGAATGAGTCAAATATCTATAAAACACAAAAACATTTCAGTTTAAACATTGTGGGCGATTGTTAATTTCTTCCAGGCTCAATTGTATTGCGATTCTCGTGTTGGATTGAAAGTGGAATTCAAAAAAGGGCGTAAACGCAGTGACCACGGCCGAAAAGGTTGAAACAAGACACTCGGTCGGTGACCGTTCGCAGCCTAAGTATTGCTCCACTGCCCAAAGACAGCGATATGCTTTGTGGTGTTTACGAGCTATTTTTAACACTGATCAAGGCTGAAAGCGTTTTGCATTTACGCAATACTTTGCGATAAAATTTAATTGAAGCTAGTTATATGAGTCGTGGGACACCCTTAAAACTCCACCGCCATGGTACAGGTAATTAGCGGCACAACAGGTGGCATCTGGGTTATTTCTGCACGGAAAGGCGTATTTTCCCAGCCTAATAAGTTTTCAAATTACACTGGTTGTTATACTAGTTCGGAAACAGGGAGGCATACCTTTTGCCCCGGCATTTGAAAACAATTCAAACAGTTGTTTTCTGCATTCATGAAATACGCGAGGTTATGCAGCTATGCTGCAGGTACCTGTGATTTGGACTAGGGATCACCCAGTTGGAGTCCTGCGGAGGGCGTAAATATGTTTTAAAAAATAAATAAATATTTCTGTAATAAATTTATCGGAAAGTGCAAAAATCTCACCCCTTTAATAGACAATCAATTTCCAAGATAAGATCAACGCACTGCATTGGAGTAACAATAACTTTTAACATTGTAGTATTGTGCCTGCAACATAACTATGCAAACAGTTACCGATAATCAATGCACGCTCGGGTCATAACAATTCTGCTAGTATTTGAGTCAAAGGAAATGAAATGAATACACCTGTTTGTAACGAGCTCGCGCGTTATTTTAATGGACTGGTCATGTAGGTAATTAAATTGATATATTAATTTGGTGACGATATAGAAGTTATTAAAAATAAACTCATCGAAATTGACGTCACTTATCTTATCAATCAAAATGCAGACTACACTAAGAGTTCATGTTATTAAACAGTGTGAATAATTACGCGACGCGCATGCCCCTACACATCACAACAACTATATACACAGGGCGCAGATAAATCGCCTAAATGGTGCTAACTACAGAGTGAAACTATGATGGAACAATAGGAATTACTGTTTCCTTGACACGCATCTCATTATTATACACGCCTTTATTAGAACAAGATCCTAAATAATCACTCAAATTATACAGTGGTTTTATTTTGCTATTTTATTGATACTCGAAACATTGTGAAAATCATGATGGTCATTACATTTAGTGCCAAAAGGTATGGGCCATTAATTTTGCCGAGGAGACTAAGCTGTAACAACAAATATATGTATACAGAGACGGAAATAGAAAGCCAGTTTGTAGCAAGGAAAGTATGAGATCTGTGCTTGCCATGGAAAAGAACGCGCAATGCATGTAGAATAGACGACAATACAGTCTACCAGATAATGTAATATAGTCACTCTACTATAATAAATAATGGTTCATTGCATAAACACAGTAGAAACCTCCATACATACGGGGTATCGTACTCTTAAATCGGACCCCCCCCCCCCGAATCGTGTAAAATGTTCTTCGAGTCATATAAGCGTCTTAGTATATTCTCTGTAAAAATATACTCCCGGAGAAAAAAATACCAAAAACACGTGAGTTAATCCGACATTGACATCAATTGTTATCAGAAGTCGCTTGTCAGGGGTCATGTACAAAGAAAGGCACATTGAATGGCCTTGTAGCGGGCATCTGTTCGATGAAAGGGCTCTTACATTGCATTCGAGTACATGTTCACTGAAATATCAAAAGCACTTGGTACTAATTACAGGTACGCCTTGGTACTGTACAATATGCGTGCGTATTTTAGGATAAAAGGAAAAGTGTCGGATCGTATCGAACACAAAATCACTAACCAGTGAATTATCAACTAATTAATAGTTATACTTCTGATCATCCCCAGACTATGGCTGTTGTTAAACTGAGCTCACGACCGGTAGGTGTCAATTTCAGAGCCTACTTTAGGTTGAAGTGGGGGTCTACCTCATGTTTAGCGGGTACACTACATACTCAACCCAATGGGATAGAAACGGATACAAACAGAAACTGACAAATACGGCGGTAAATGCTTGGATAAGGTCCGTAGTTTGTGTTCGACCGGGCCTGGTTGGCACCAGAATGGCCCTGTCATAAAGACATGGTCATGTACGGCTTGCCAAGAAAGTTGGTATTTAAAGAAACTATAGTGACATCAAGTTCCCGGAGTTGACATTCATTTTGTAGAGATGTATAAACACAAAAACTAGTTCTACGAAAACTTGTGACTCATAAACTGTGACGTCAGCATTGCAAGCGGGTACAATTATAATAATGACAAAAGTATGTAAAATGGATGGCTTCAAGTTGTTTGCTAAGAATGAGGCGTTGTCATTGTGTACGCTGAAGGGCATATAGGTTCACGCCTTGAATACAGGATTGTTGTAAGATTACACTCCACCAAACCGGCTACACCGTGACCGGCTACACCATGACCATTTGCAGAGGTTTGAATATGGCTCCCAATTGAAATTAGTATTCACAAATACGAAGGTTAAGCTGGTTTAATATATTTTGTGACTAAACGTATTGTTGGGACCAAATGCAAATTATAAAAAAAGTACACTTGCAGCGGAATCTGTTTCATTACATTAATTTCAATCATCACCCAGTGCCGAAAAAAGGGATGATTTTCTTTGTAACTTTGAAAAAGAGAATTGACAACAGGCTAGACCATTCACTGTCACCGGGGGTTTCTTTGTCGTTGTATCAAAGAAATTCGACTACATAGTGTGCATGCTTATTCTTTCTTCTGTTTAACAGTCCCGTCAGCTTCAATGACGACAATACCACCTTTCAGTCGTAGACTACATACGGACTCATCATGTATTATGGCTCGATAGGTGTTAAAAACAGTCGGCTTTGTTCCACTGGTAGAACCAGGCTGCAACTCTGATTGATACGGTCATGAACGCCAACAGAGAATAACTGTGCTACGCTCTGGTAACCTTTGAAAGCCGATTTGTTGAGAGATTAGAATAATTGTCAATTTCTTCTAAATTGAAAACACACACTTTGAGACAATCTAATCAAAATAACATCCTGGTTGGCTTAATTTTTTTAAATTTTATATAAATATATTTTTTATTATTACTATTAATTTTATTTATTATTATTCGTTTTAATATTTGCTCTTACAATAAATTTGCCGCGCATAAACAAACCAATTCTCACAGCAAAATAAGTGTAACGTCAAAAAATAATTAAAATAAATAATAATTACATTAAAAAAAATTAAGCCAACCAGGATCTTATTTTAATCAGATTGACTTCAAGTTTGAGAATAAGTGTGTATATAATGATAACTATTGAAGGAATAACGAAAATTGAAATTTTAGTCTGACAACTTATTTGCATATAACCCCATCATGTGTCATATGATTTACTTTTAACCAATCCTAGTTCATTTTTCAAGCCTGTGCAAGTATGAGCCTCGATTTCGCCACCGAGGTGCGATATAAGTTACTGCATATTTAATTAATGTTGTTTAATAATTTATCGTAAAAACATATTGGCAGCAAACATAAATATTGTCCAATGGAATATTAAAAACTATATTGCGCATGCGCATACCTGTACGTATAGAACGCGCCCCGACTTGTATTACTGCTATGTTCACTGAAAAAAAAACCTGTGTATTTAAATTATTGTTTTTTTAATGTACAATTGCCACACAAATAGACAATTAGTAAGCCTTTTATACGTGACTGAACAAAATGTGTGTTCACAAAATTACCTGGCATATATTAAGGTTCGACAATACGTGCCGCTATATGTGTGTCAATATTAGTACTGGGGTCTACACACGACATCAGGTTATTTGACGGACTGCAAAACGTATTAACTTCATTACACATACAGTGTAATATTGACAGCACGTGGTGTATTGCTGCTGGGTTTTATGGCGGACATGGACACTGGCATACTTATTTTCTGAGACAGAAATTCATCTCAAAAGTAATTATGTATTCAGAATGTCGATTCAGAACATATATATAGCCTCTCAACTATATCATTAATTTGGTGATGAGGATTAAAAGTACGCACTTTCATTACTGGTACGTACTCACAGAGTACATGCGCATGCGTATTTAGTGTGCCGCAGAGGCTTGTTTACATGATGTTGTTACAGTGAAATAAACACATTTCATCTGCAGGTGATACATGACCTTTTGACCCTAACATGTGCGACTATGTGACTGACGTGTATCACTGTTCCCCACACAGGAAACGCATGGAACAATACAACGAGATGGCCGAAGTGGGACTCCCCATGAATGCGGAAATAAATAAAAATACCGATAACCATGTTGCTGGGAAAAGTGTTAATGCTACAATGGAAACTGTCGCAACAACTTTTGTTTCCGTCGAGCTGCCTGCACACAAGGCTGCGTACAAAGGTGATATTAAAGCGTTGCCAAGCATCTTTGAGAAAGGGACGGTGACGATGTTTGACGCCAATGGCAATACCCCCTTACATATTGCCGCACAGTCGGGAAATGAAGACTGCCTTCGGTGAGTATTATTACTTTGTACAGACACTAAAACACAACAAACGCTCATGTAATCCAATACTGCCAATATCAATATTAGAGTGACATAATTGTCAAACAACAAATGACAATTACAAGAACAAAGACTAGTAAAGGCAAGTGTAGTTAGTCAGATGTCATTGCTGGGCATATATATAATATCGCCACTAACCTATCTCATTTGTTTTGAAATCTTCCCGTATACATAGTAGTAGAATATACCAGTTTTATAATAATAATAATAATAATAATAATAATAATAATAATAATAATAATAATAATAATAATAAAAAATAATAATAATAATAATAATAATAATAATAATAATAATAATAATAATAATAATAATAATAATAACAAGAATAATAATGTTGCCGTTAATGCTCTGTACTGACTAGGCATATATTTTTAAGCTAATCCGTTTTACGTCTCAGTGCCCTGTCTATTATCGGATTATTGGCGCGTGCATAGATCGTGATGACCTAGGGGTCACACATCCTGGTTATTGTCAAATAAATTAAACAAGTTGTCCTTTCGCGGTATTCATGTATAATATATATGTATATGTTGTAGATAACAACACCCTAATTCTGTCTTTTATTTTAATTTGTACGAATATTGTATACTTAATTCTAAAATCATAAATCTCGTTGTTTCATACGAATAATACAACTATCAAATTACTTGTTTTATTGCAATACCCATCCCTACATCATTGTGTTTAAGATCCGGTTTCCTCTCTATTGCCATGGTGATTTACATACTACCAACTCGTAATGTTATAGTTGTATGTATTATTTATGAATTTGACGAATTTATGCTATTTTGCTGTGTCATTAACGTCCTTGGTAAAGTGAATTTGCCGGATTACGGAAACCTGAAACATGAAAACCCCAAAGCCTCATTAGGAAATTAAAAGCAAAATAAAAACCAAATAAAAAATAAAATAAAGACATTGTGTTTTTGTTTTGCATGATATCTACAGTGGTCAACACAGATACCTGGTCACTGTATCTATTTCCATGGTGAGTCTATGGGGTGAATATTATTCTGGAGAAATTTGATTACAAAATAATGTACTTGAGATAGAAGAGACAGAGCGGCAGAGAGATTTGTTTTGTTACTTATTTTTTATACACCCAACAACCATGAAAATCTTGGAGATTTTTCTCATCACATCTCTTAAATTATAAATGAATATGATAAATTGTCGGAAATGAAATTATGTTTGAAATCTTTGAACATTACGCACTATTGGACATTTGGCATATTAACATTCCACTTGTTAATACACATTGGGTAGACCAAGAGTGGATTGGATTATTTTGGGCCATCATAATGGAAACTGAAATACGTTTATTGAAGGACTTGTCTAAGCTAGATTTCTAAATGGATCCAAAATCAATATCATCCAGATGGTAGTTATGTTTGACGAAATGAAATCTGAGCTGCGCTTAGAATATAAAAACTTGTGGGTGAATTAGTGGTTAACTCCCTGAACTATGGATGAATTATCTAAATCTCAAAGTCAAAGAGTTATTAAGCTGATAGAGTTAACAATTAAGAACAAGAATTGACGGCCATTATGTCTCATTAATGTAGACGCAAAATAGTTTGGTCAAAGGATTAGAAATGATTCTACCAGACATAGGGTGCATTCATCGAGTGAACAGACATGAATGACTGTATTACAATTGTTGAGGAAATGCTCTAATATAACGAGGAAATCAAGTTGCTGATATTCTGATAGTAGTGGACCTTCAGATATAGCATTTGGTGTGTCCGATTATTCATTCCTGCTTGAATGTATTTAGTGTTAGGCCCATATTTTTAAAATGAATCAAAGTAATAATGGTTTTACATCTGGGTATTTTCTCCTAATCGAGGAGTGAGATATCCCTTGTCCCCCTATTTTTTTCATTCTATCCCTGGAAATCTTCTTGATTAATATGTGAAGTAATCCTAATAATCGGGGAAACAATTGTCTTGAAGCGAAATATTCTGTATTTTCAGATGATTTAACATGTTTTGCGAGCAATCAAAATAGAAAACGAAGCTATGTAGCTTGGGTTGTGGAAAAATACATATTCAGACACAAAATATCCAGAGTGATGTTTATTAAACGATATTCAGACTGGAATTGTTTGTTCAAGCTGCATCATCGTATTCTGTACACCAGCTACGACCTAAGAAGAAAGGAAATTGAGATTTAGTGAAATATGTACCTCATGCATAATAGGAAATGAGACCCTTGAGCATTTGTTATTTTTTGTATATACTAAACAAATTGTGCATGTTTTGGGAGAAGTATGGGACAGCCAACAATTGATGGGACAGCCAACAATTGATGGGACAACCAACAATTGACGGGACAGCCAACAATTGACGGGACAGCCAACAATTGATGGGACAGCCAACAATTGATGGGACAACCAACAATTGACGGGACAGCCAACAATTGACGGGACAGCCAACAATTGATGGGACAGCCAACAATTGATGGGACAGCCAACAATTGATGAAATTATATTTGGTGATATCACACTACCAAATGATATGCGATTTAAGTTTCCTTTTTCAAGAACAAACTAACAGTAGAAGTGAATAACAGTTGTATTATAGAATCCAACATTATATAGTTACCAAGACATGAATATTCAAACATATTTACTGAGGTGTGTAGGAAAACATCAATATGTAACACTGACCCCACACTGGTTTTATAAAACGAAACTTAATACAATATAAAATTTGCATCGTGAAGATTGCAAATATATATTACATGGATTTCATAATTTGTAGTTTCAATTGTGTTTCCAAGGTTTTTATAAGTACTTTCAGGGATATTAATAATAATATGTTTATTTCCAAAGTATCATGAGTTTCACTTTCCGAGATTTCCGAGGTTTCCAGCATGACTACTCTACATATTCCTTCCTTCTTTCATGCTTCATGATTAATGTACTATTACAGATGTGCCCTCTACTAGATAAAGTTACCCTGACCATCCGTTCATCCAAATCTTAGTCGCAGTGAAAACGAATGGGTTTTTCAAGGCTTTCATGCTCAATTGGTTTGAATCACGCAATTGCTAGCACATTCCTCCTGGGGACAGCGGCAATAGTTTACTTTAAAGGTGCATTCGATATGAACTCTTCGTGCTCTAGGATCTTGTGACAGTTGAGCTATTGTCCGGTGTCCTGTCTAGAGTGCAAAGGTTATATAGAGGAATGTGAACATGCGTATATCATAGACTTTACATATATTATAATACAGTTTTATCATTCACAAGGGAATAATCGATTTTGTTTTGAGATTTATGTGATTTTTACGTGATCTATGAATACCTGAATATATGATATATAATATATGAATAAACACATTTGACCGATGAGTGAGCAATAAAGTAGAATATTCATGTCCTAATGTCATACGTCTAGCTTCTGGCCAGGCAGAACTACTGTAAAACACTGAGACATAGCTACATGCCATTTTAGCGAATTCGTGTCAATCATGGCAGATGAAGGTGAATTACATGACAGAATCTTATTTAATGGCAATAATCTCATTAATTTCTTTTAAATTAAAAACAACTTGCATTAGCGTAACAGATTAGCTAAATTGGCTAAAATAACATGCTAGCTTCACGGGGATGTTTTACAGTATTATTCCCATGTAACACAATATATACCATAGTGCCCATTATAGACTGGTAGAAAGTACAACATGGACATATTATTGATCTATTTTAAACTATCGTCCTCGTCGCAATGATCTCACTTCACATGCTATGATTGTAAAGTGAGGTGTAAGTATAGTAGTTATTCTTTATACTAGTACCTTAGTCTATGTTTATTTCTTCCGGTCGTTGTGGCAAATAAAACCACGTGATACGAACTCTCATGGGATCAATATTCATACGGTGGCAATAAAGACGATGTTCGAGTGGCTGATAAAAAATGTTGTTTCGTCAAACTACCAGTGATCATATTTCAGAGTTCGAGGTTATTTGTTTACGATAATTAATGGTTTCTTTTAAATCACCAGAAGCTCTATACTTTTTATCATATAAAACAATAAAGTTTCCACGGCTGTGTCAGTCGAAATTGTTGTATTGAGAGGGCTTAGTAACTCCGGGCATTTGTGTACTTTAACACAAATTTAATGTACATCATCACTATTCAAATAACAGAGATGTGTTTTTAATTTATTAGAACGAGGACAGTCGTGGTTCATTAGCCATTGACCCTTGAGAACTATTCAAATATTCTTGAATGAGCAATTTTCGTAACTATTTCTACAGTGCATTCTCACGTTACTACCCCTGGTATATTATACAATGCCACGGTATCTGGTTGAATCCCACAACCACAATAGGCGATATGTCCAAAAACCAAAACTTATATCTCAAAAGCAAATATACGTGGTAGATTTACCGAAAATGAGAATTTGTTGCTACTCTAAAAATTATATTTTAGTATAAGGTAATAAAAATACGATTAAATACAAACAATGCTAGTAGCTACCAATGCTATTACCCGGTCATTGACCCGAGTATAACTTGAAATGCTCAAATTTGTACAATTAATTGTGAGCAATAGATTTATCATTTGCATTTTCAGTGATTTCCTCTGTGAATAATTTGTTACTATTTTTCCTCAGCTGACTATTAGTTTACTATGTAAATATGCCAGTTTTGACTATTTCAGGCTCGTATTACGAAAAATTGACCGATAACCCATTTTTTCATTATCGGTCAAAATTTCCCTAAACATCACTAATTTACATAAATTGTGTTTTATTCCAGATGGTTGTTGGATCATACGTATATACCAATACGAGCCAAAAACAAACAAGAAGACACGCCTGCACATCTCGCGGCTTGTCATGGGAATCTCGCGTGTTTATCGATGCTCTTCACGCAAGACACGAATGCGCTGGACGCCGCCTGTGATCGCAACGCTGATCGCATGACGTCACTTCATTTAGCGGCTCTACATGGCCAAGTTGCCGTGGCAACGTGGCTATTGACGGAATTTAAAGGAACTATCGCAGGAATGAAAACTGTAAGTGGACTTACCGTTCTGCACATAGCAGCGGAAAGAGGTATGCATATGTTTCTTTTTTAATAATTTACCACACATAAATCACCATTCTCCCGTAAAATATGATATGAAGGAATTTGTCTGTTTTACTTATATATACACAGTGTACAATAGCACATCATTTTAGAATTTAAATGTTGCTAACTGTGAATATAATAAAGTAAATGCAATGTGTTTGACATATTTTATAGTTCTTACAAGTCACTTCGCGATGAGCGTCTTTTGCGGTCAGTAATATTTACGAAAATTTTTGTACATTATTGGCTATCCGCTCCGCTAGGATTGCCCTTAAAATCAATTTTGTGTGTCTGTATGTGTGATTTCCAGTGTTTTCACGTATTAATTCTTCTGTGATTTTTTTGGCTGGCCTATTTCCCTCAAACTTGGCAGGCAGGTCACACCATCACACTAGTTATTAGGTAAAATCTGAAAAAAAAATTTGGCCATCCGTTGCCATAGTAACAGCCAAAAACTGTGGGTTTTTTTGGACAACTTAGTGCCAAATGTATCTCCTCCTACAAATTTAGGATAAAACTCCTCAGACATAGCTCATTCTACTCAACTTGAGTGTGGGCACAAAGTTGAATTTTTGATATCTTTTTTCATTGCTGAGAAATTTTACTTTCTGTGATTTTTTGGTTGGGCCGATTTGGTTCAAACTTGGCAAGTCACACCTTCACTCTAGTTAGGTTGTAAAATCTAAAAATTCTGGCCCACCGTTTCCATGGCAACAGCCAAAAAAAATATTTTTTTTATACCTTCTCGCCCTACAATTCTAGGATTAAGTAGCTCATTCTACTCAGCTTGAGTGTGCATAAATTTACTGGTTGTTTTATGTTTATTTTCATTACCGAGAAACTTGACCTCAAAGTTGGGGTAACTTTTCACTAGCGGCTTTTAACCATGCCATGGCAACAGCCAGAAACTGATTTTTGAATACTTTCGCCCCAAATGTATTACCTACTAGCAGTCTTGTAATAGCAGTGTATATGATCGTGTTTGTTTTTATTTTGGCTACGTTGCACACTGGTAAGAGATCACCGGCGCCAACATTGTTACACTGTATCAACGTAATCCCAACGCAACTTTGAACTATGAATGAACTGTATTAAATGCTGCCTTCAATCTAGAAAATACTATCGCAAAACGGTTGGAAATAATAAATTTAACAGCAGAATACGTCCTAGCAATACAATAAAGTGGCTTATAAAGACTGAACGTTTTTTTGCGAACTTCGTATACGGGGCCCGGTTTTAGTTGTAAACCGACGTTAGCTTCACGTTCATGTCCTACCATGGTAACAGCCGAAAACATGATGTTGCTTGTTTTTTTAGCAAAGTGGATAGCCAACCAGCCTACCGGCTTGTTTTATAAACTGGCTTGGCAATTCCCACCACCAATTAGACCATGTCACAGCATTTCGGCTACTTTTCCAACAAATCCAAAATCACTCGATAATTTTGTGTACTTTACATTTGTACTACTATATGATTACATTTTAAGTTACGATAATTTTAATGCATACATGTACACTCACAAAAATACCCCCAAAATAAGAGAAAATATTATATAGCCTTGACAAAAAGGCATTATTTTTCCTTGTCTTAATACTGCATTTTTTTATATCTGTGTAACTTCATGTGGATATCCTGATGAAATTTAAAGTTCAGTTCACAACTAACGGTTTTGCAATATTAGAGGCTGTGAACTTGTCCATGGAGGCTGCAAATTATTAAATATTGTATTCACTGACATTTATTTTGTATTTACATTTGTTATGAGTTTCCACAGTATCTTTTTCTTAATACTGTGACTGTGAAAAGTAACTTGAAAGTACTTGTATACTTTGTTATCCAGCATCCTAAATATCAGTTTGTTCGGAAGAATGAGATTGTAAATTTCTTTCATTAATTTTGTAAGATGACGCTTTCTCCGGGGCCTCAGAGTCCCATGTTGACAATGTCCCGGTCCCTTTACTCAGGGTAAGGTAACTCACTTGTTGTCAGTGTCTGAGTGGTATATACAAAATACGACCAAGTAAACGTCAGAATATTAAAAAAAAAACAGAAACCTAAAAATCAGTTGCCCATGCCAAGAGAGCCGCAAAACCAAAACAATCTGTCGGCCGTCGCCGTCCACAGCAGAAGAATCGCATGTGTAGACATATTGCATAGAAATGAACACTTAATCCATCTATCCCGGCCAGCAATCAAATCTTTAATCTTCATGAGTGATGTAACTGGCATTTCCAT